TTGGTCGTGGCCATCGCGACACCATCGTCCAACACCTCCATCGCCGGAGTGTTCGCAACATCGTTCGCGGTCCCAGGCCTTGGTTGCTAACGCGTTCCGCCGCTGTCCAGCGTCCCAGCAGTCGCCCGCGAGCCTCCCAGCGGTCAGCAGTCGCCCGCTCGCGCGCCCAGCGGCACCGCAGGCCATTCTCCGCACGCTCGCAAACCCTCCTCGCCCGTTTAAACCCTTTTTCGTGTAAATCTCCCTGAGAACGGTACAAGGCTGTCTAAACCCCTCTTATTTTATGTGTATGTGTGATATATGTTAAGCCTTGAAGAGAATTGCATGCTAGGGTTTGAGTTTTGGCCACTTAATTTCGTACTATGTTCGTTACTTGCATTCATATGTGATTTATATTTAAATCGTGATTAGGGCTGTGGATTATTGGAACATTTGAAGTCTTTGGCCTCATGGTGAAGGCCTTAGACGAAATTGTTGAGTAAAGTGTTAGTTATGCATTTTTGAATCGAGTATTGCTTCTGATTCTTATAAAAATCATTGCAAATTGAATACTTGTCCGATTGCCATGAAATTTGAACTGTAGAGTTCTATTTTGGTATATTATGTGCTGTAAAAATTTCATGCCGAATTGATGTCTGTAGCTATGTCAAGTATTGAATTTAAGTTCTGGGTAGAAACTTTGAAAATTCATTAAAAATCGTATGATGGGATTTTTGCTGTGATTTTTGGTGAGTGTTAATAGCTTGATGTTATGTGTGTCGTGTCCAAATTTCATTAAAAAATTCCAAGGATTGCCCGGTGAACTAGAAAATTCAGATTTTAATCGTCTTTTTGTAAAAATTGGTCACTTGAGTTAATATGAAGTGTTGGGTCTGGAACTTGGTGAAAATATGCCTTTCTGGGTCTATTTTATTGTGTAAAAATTTCAAGTAAAACGGTCCAGTACTTTTTGAAAACGGTCGGTCCTATTTGAAACCCTGCCTGTATGCCGGGCCCCTGTGCACTGCTGCCAGCGCACGCCAGCGCCCTGATACGGAAGTGACTTTGGAGTCCGGTGAGTCTAGTAAGGAGCGAAAAGACAAAAGGTGCGCATCGGCACTTGATGCGCACGAATGGGCGAACAGGCCGCGCACGCGGGTTTGGCGGGGAGAACGCGGGCGCAAGAAAGACGGGTGCGCGGGTGTACGCGG